AATTGACTTGTATTTTCCATGTGTTTTTTTCATGTGTTAAAGAAACTGAGCTGTGACTCATGTTAGAAATCACGCTTAGGCAAATGCTAGTATTATTGGGACCCATTGAGGTAAATTCTGCTGTCAAGTTATATGTTTAAATTGTAATTTCGTACCCAGTCATGTTCATTCATTGCATATCATATCTTAGTCTCTGTTGCTATTTATTGATACATCATATCATCATTTTGGGCTAGTTTCATGATATTGTGATCCCGAGAGCTTGGAGAGATTGATGACTGAATGAGGCCGAAGGCCTGATTATGAGTGTTATTTATGGGATCGGGCTGCACGTCTCATCATGTTTTATTGATTTATGTCTGGATTTGGCTTATTATAGAGCTTGGGCTGAAGAAGCCCCTCTGGAGTCTGTACACCCACAGTTAGCGCAGTGATATTATATTGAGGGATGGATCTTCCCTGGGCATGGATCTTGCCTAATTATTTATACTGAAGGATGGATCTTCCCTAGGCTGGATTGGCCCTATACAGTATTGAGTGACTACATGCCAGTTATCATATATATCTATTTGGGATGGATCTTCCCTGGGTTGGATTGACCATATACAGTATTGAGTGGCTGTGCGCGAGTTGTCATTTATATTTGGGCCGAATCTGCCCTGTATAGTGCCGAGTGGCTGAGTGTGTTGAATATTGAGCATGAGGAGTGGAAATGCGAGACAGTGAGATTGAGTTCTCTGAGAGTGTGAGTACATGAGTTCATCATTATGCTGCATTGCATTAGACATGCATACTTGATATGTAGGCATAGAGAAGTATTTTTCCTCATGCCATCTGATAATGGAATTTCTTATCTGTCGTTAAAGTTTTTTATTGAGAAAAATCACAGATTTCAGACTTACTCATACTTTCGGTGATTTCGGCAAAAGATTTGAGTTTTGCTGTTATACTTGAAAAGAAAATATTTATTTTCCGGAATTGTATACGAGCTGAGCATTTATTTATTGAGTTATTTCTTGTACCATCTTTATTATATTATTATGAACTGTTGTTGGTTATTGGAGTTGGACTCTGACCTTTGTCCCAACTCGTCACTACTTTCAACCTAAGGTTAGGTTTGTTACTTATTGAGTACATGGGGTCGGTTGTACTCATACTACACTTCTGCACCTTGCGTGCAGATGATAGATGTTGATGTTGTTGTGCACGGCGGGAGATGGATTTGAAGATATACCAGCATTCCGATCATAGCTGCCTCTTGATCTTGGTAGCTTTAGATTTTAATATGTTCTTGTATAGTTCAAACAGACGATGGACTTTATTTAATATCAGCCTTGTAAATTTTAAATCTTAGAAGCTCATGATTTGTACTACCAGTTCTTGAAAAATCCTTATATAAAGCAGTTGTATTTTTATTTCTTTTCTTAATAAATCTCATTTAAATTGGATAGTTGTTAATTGGCTTACCTGACGGGTTGGGTTAGGTGCCATCACGACTAGTTGAATTTTGGATCGTGGCACTTCTAACCCGTTAGCTTGTTGCCCGCTAGATTTAATAGCTTAGCTTTCCAACCTGTCAGCTTGTTGTTCATTTTATCAAGAATGAATTGGTAATCCCTACCTTTAGGGAAGTGGGATGAAAGATAAAAGCTAAGGTATTTGCCAAAATTTGTAGATGAGCAAATGTTTAGCGCATTTGTTAAAACTGCGTGGATGTTCATGGAAACATTTTTGGAGAAGAAAATTTTTGATTTGGAGAAGTTTATTTTTTGACCCGACTGAAAGTGCAAAGATTTGAAGATATTAATAATCGTGGTGGCATTTTGTATATCAGCTCGAGAGAATAAGATAAGGTCGTCAGCAAATAATAGGAGTGAAATTGGTGGTCCCGATCTACTGATTTTAACTTATGTCCAGTCTCTGTTGAGGGTGGCCTGATCAATTAGGTGAGTCAGAGATTGCATACAAATTATGAAAATATAGGGGGAGAGGGGGTCTCCTTGACGTATGCCTCTCGATGGTTCGAAAAATTTTGTGGGCTTGCCATTTATCATGATGGAAATGGAAGCAAAGGAGATACAGTTCATGATAAGGTTAATGAGGGTGGTGGGGAAACCTAAATTATGGAGGGATTTGTGGATAAAGGACCATTCGAGTCTATCAAAAGCTTTTTTAAGGTCTAGCTTGAGCATCATATTGCCCATGTAACATGACATATTTTGAAATGAGTGGATGACTTCTTGGACGATGATGGCATTATCAACAGTTTGCCTTCCTATAAGGAAGCTGCATTTGTTGGGACTGATTAAGTGTGTAAGGAAATGATGGATTCTATTAACAATAATTTTAGTGATAGTTTTGTAAACTGTGTTGCAGAGGCTGATTGGTGATTGTTGATGGGTTAACTTGGACTAGCCCAAAACAGCCCATCTTTAAAACTGTTCCAGCCCGAACCCATTAAAACTTGGACGGGTTGGACGAGTCAAATGAGTTTGAGTTAGTTTTGCCACCCCTACTCTAACATTTGATTAGAGTACATTAAAGGCCTAGTTAGAGAAAGTTAAGGAGAATGACAAGGATACTTTTGTGCCACTGTTAATTTTTTAATACCAGTAACAGAAGTTTTGAAAAATAGCCGCACACCATATTTTATATTACGTTTGCCAGAATTTCAACAAGCTATGATGATTGTCAGGATTTGTGTAAAAAACTTAACGATCATCGGAATTTTCAGTCACAATGCTGAAAAAATCTGGTAATCATCAGGATTTTGTCACAAATAATCCTGATGGATTACCAAAAAATTTCAGAATTGTGGCTGAGTGCTTCAAATTCAATAATTGTCAGGATCGCTTATCAAAATTTTGACGAACGTGCTTCAAAATTCTAATCGGAGGATATTTTACCAAGACATTTCTTAACGGGGTCAAAATTTAAATGTTGGTCCTAAAAAGATCACTCCAGAGTATTTTATTTTTTTTCCCGCTAAAGTCTCATCTTAGCTACTTGTTTTGCAAGTTCAAGACTTCAAGTGTCCAATTTGGACGGTGTTTGACAATTTCTTGAATTTTATTTTTATTTTTAGAAGTTTTCTGGGGAAGTGTCTGATGAACAAATATACCTTTTTTATATTTAAATATTTTTATTTTAGTATTCTCATTTCGACCTTAGTTATAGGCTTTTATACCAATGACATGAGATATTGAAGCAACAAGATTTTAAAGGTAACTTGGATATATTATTTAGTACATCTTTAGCTTACCTTTCAAGAATGTATTTTCTTTCTCACATTTTGCATCCAATAAAAAATCGTCATATCAAATGAAAACTATGGAATGCCCATTTAGACCGACAAAATTTTGAAATAATAGCCGCATATAACATGACCTTAATATAATTGGATTTACAAATATAATTGATTTTACTGTCTCTTAAAAACGACCGCTCACCTAGCTAGTGATATAGTAAGATAAAATTGACCGAGGAAATGATAGTAAAATAAATGATAGTTAAAATTTTCACAAATATTTAGTTAAAATACTGAAAATGCAGAAGTTGTTTTTTTGTTGAGAATTTAAATATATAGCCGACAGCATCTCAGATTGCACTCTTGGAAGCTTCTTCAAAAGTTTCTGTTAATATTTTCTCATACAAAAAATAAATATATTAATTATGTTAGCTGAATTGTAATGTATGTTAAACAATTTGTTTGCACTTGTTAGGTGCACCTAAAAATTAGTTTGCTCAACTAATACTTTTTTTGTTTTCAACTCTTTCATTATCGCATGCCTTGGCCTTCACCCTAATCATTTAGCTAATTTTACTTTTTCTTCTACCCAACAACAAAGATTGATCACACGGTCTTTGCTTTTCATCTAACATTGAAACTAATCTATCTAACAATTAAACCTTTTAGCTAACGCAAAATTCACAATCTAAGGTAAAAAAAATCAAAGCCACCTATTAAATAAAGGCATTTTTTTCCTGAGCGAAAAATTGCATTTTCCTTTGACCTCAAAGTTTATCAGTTACACTACGTTGCTTATGCTAGTAATAATTAAATATAGCAACCCATCCATAGGAAGTTCATGTCTTTTTTTAAAGTATTTATCTGTCATATGTAATTTAATTTAATATATTTGATTTGTTTATAGTTTGAATTGTTGTAGTTGGGAACAAGAAAATGCACTAGTTGGAGGCCACACTAGGCATGTACATAATCATTTTTCAATGATGAGTCATGTGTCACATAATTTCTTTAAAGATTAAACAAGTTCGATGATACCATTTTGAAACTCGAGTCCAACTGATCAGTGTAAACAGTTTCTTAAAGTGGTCATTCAATAGGAATAAGTCTTACTTCACTAAGGTTTGTAATCTTCCTTATAACATTTCAATAGTCCCATCTTACTTAAAATGGTTATAAATATTCTGACCCATTTTATACGAGAGTACTATTTGATGTGATAGACAGATAAAGTTAAGACTTAATTGTTGAGAAGTTATTGATGCAAATTAAAAGATATCAAATCAAAGTACTTTGAAAATTGAAGAATTAAATAAATTTGAATTTTTAAAAGTATATAAATTGCATATGATGATAACATTCATAATGGTACTGTGTCAAATATTTGACCTTTCGATAACGAGTGTTATATAAATTAGGAAAGAATGGGGTATAAGTTGAGAGAAACACACTCTGATAATGTGACGAATTCCTTGAAGTATATGAAGAAATAATAACATTAAATATTACTACATTACCGTGAGTTTAACTTCATTTAGAAAATGTACATAACGGAAGGAAATAAGGGAGATATACTAGCTATTTTTCATGTTCCAAAAATGGAGTACAAGTATCCTTTATACACATGAATAAATAGTGTAAAGGCCATGTTCATAAATTCTCTGTGCAAAAGTACTACTGCAGTAGTATAACTGTCAAAGTCTTAAGGGAAAAAAACTGAAAAGAAAATTTAATGGGAAAACGATCAGAAAAATCAAGTGAATTTTCTAGGATCAGTAACATTAATCCTCCAATGTTCATCTTTAAATCCCATTTTTCCAGCCAAGTTCCTATCCCATTCTAACTCAATTTTCCTCTGCTTTGTCAACTTACAACATTTCTGTAAGCTCTCATCCATGGAGTCATGGAGTTTCCACCATGTCTTATGCGCGACATCGCTAGCATAAACACGTTGATCTCCTATATCCCAGTTACAATCGTAGTCCCTGTAACAAACCCATGGCTTTAACCCTAGATAATGTATAGCGTACACTTTTGGAGGATCTGCCCCGAATAGTTGGTTCTTAACACTGACCTCGTTAGAATTATTTGACCAAAAATTCTTTAAGAAATTAACCCTTCGAGGCAACCTATGCCACCATACGTATACTTCATTTAGGAAACCCTGATCACCTCCGTTATACGATATAATCTCCTTTGTACGTTGCATGAACATGTTGAACGTGCAATTT